ATGTGGGTTTGGACCCGCCCCTAGGATTTCGCGAAACCAGACCGCCAGAGTTGGGAACTCGCCTGAGGGCGCTTATTTCAACGGGGAGTTGAAACCGAGTGTGGGATGCCTGTGAGTAGTCCCCCGTGCTCGACTCCGCACTCGATCCCGAAGCAGACGCAAAGGTTGGAGCCTCCGTAGGCGCGTTCGTCCACTGCGAGTTAGACCCAGTGCTCGACTCTGTGCTGGACTCCGCACTCGATGCCTCCGTAGGCTCGTTCGTCCACTGCGAGTTAGACCCAGTGCTCGACTCTGTGCTCGACTCCGCACCCGATCCCGAAGCGGACGCAAACGTTGGAGCCTCCGTAGGCGCGTTCGTCCACTGCGCGTTTGATCCAGTGCTCGACTCCGTGCTCGACTCCGCACCCGATCCCGAAGCAGACGCAAACGTTGGAGCCTCCGTAGGCGCGTTCGTCCACTGCGCGTTTGATCCAGTGCTCGACTCTGTGCTCGACTCCGCACCCGATCCCGAAGCAGACGCAAACGTTGGAGCCTCCGTAGGCGCGTTCGTCCACTGCGCGTTTGAACTAGTGCTCGACTCCGTGCTCGACTCCGCACTCGATCCCGAAGCAGAAGCAAACGTTGGAGCCTCCGTAGGCGCGTTCGTCCACTGCGAGTTAGACCCAGTGCTCGACTCTGTGCTCGACTCCGCACTCGATCCCGAAGCAGACGCAAACGTTGGAGCCTCCGTAGGCGCGTTCGTCCACTGCGAGTTAGACCCAGTGCTCGACTCCGTGCTCGACTCCGCACTCGATCCCGAAGCAGACGCAAACGTTGGAGCCTCCGTAGGCGCGTTCGTCCACTGCGCGTTTGATCCAGTGCTCGACTCCGCACCCGATCCCGAAGCAGACGCAACCGTTGGAGCCTCCGTAGGCGCGTTCGTCCACTGCGAGTTAGACCGAGTGTTCGACTCCGTGCTCGACTCCGCACTCGATCCCGAAGCAGACGCAACCGTTGGAGCCTCCGTAGGCGCGTTCGTCCACTGCGAGTTAGACCCAGTGCTCGACTCCGTGCTCGACTCCGCACTCGATCCCGAAGCAGACGCAACCGTTGGAGCCTCCGTAGGCGCGTTCGTCCACTGTGAGTTTGATCCAGTGCTCGACTCCGTGCTCGACTCCGCACTCGATCCCGAAGCAGACGCAAACGTTGGAGCCTCCGTAGGCGCGTTCGTCCACTGCGCGTTTGATCCAGTGCTCGACTCCGTGCTCGACTCCGTCGTCGATCCCGAAGCAGAAGCAAACGTTGGAGCCTCCGTAGGCGCGTTCGTCCACTGCGCGTTTGATCCAGTGCTCGACTCTGTGCTCGACTCCGCACTCGATCCCGAAGCAGACGCAAACGTTGGAGCCTCCGTAGGCGCGTTCGTCCACTGCGCGTTTGATCCAGTGCTCGACTCCGTGCTCGACTCCGTGCTCGACTCCGCACTCGATCCCGAAGCAGACGCAAAGGTTGGAGCCTCCGTAGGCGCGTTCGTCCACTGCGAGTTAGACCCAGTGCTCGACTCTGTGCTCGACTCCGCACTCGATCCCGAAGCAGACGCAAAGGTTGGAGCCTCCGTAGGCGCGTTCGTCCACTGCGAGTTGGACCCAGTGCTCGACTCCGTGCTCGACTCCGCACTCGATCCCGAAGCAGACGCAAAGGTTGGAGCCTCCGTAGGCGCGTTCGTCCACTGCGAGTTAGACCCAGTGCTCGACTCTGTGCTCGACTCCGCACTCGATGCCTCCGTAGGCTCGTTCGTCCACTGCGAGTTAGACCCAGTGCTCGACTCTGTGCTCGACTCCGCACCCGATCCCGAAGCGGACGCAAACGTTGGAGCCTCCGTAGGCGCGTTCGTCCACTGCGCGTTTGATCCAGTGCTCGACTCTGTGCTCGACTCCGCACCCGATCCCGAAGCAGACGCAAACGTTGGAGCCTCCGTAGGCTTGTCGTTCGTCCACTGCGAGTTAGACCCAGTGCTCGACTCTGTGCTCGACTCCGCACTCGATCCCGAAGCAGACGCAAAGGTTGGAGCCTCCGTAGGCGCGTTCGTCCACTGCGAGTTGGACCCAGTGCTCGACTCCGTGCTCGACTCCGCACTCGATCCCGAAGCAGACGCAAAGGTTGGAGCCTCCGTAGGCGCGTTCGTCCACTGCGAGTTAGACCCAGTGCTCGACTCTGTGCTCGACTCCGCACTCGATCCCGAAGCAGACGCAAACGTTGGAGCCTCCGTAGGCGCGTTCGTCCACTGCGCGTTAGACCCAGTGCTCGACTCCGTGCTCGACTCCGCACTCGATCCCGAAGCAGACGCAAACGTTGGAGCCTCCGTAGGCGCGTTCGTCCACTGCGCGTTTGATCCAGTGCTCGACTCTGTGCTCGACTCCGCACTCGATCCCGAAGCAGACGCAAACGTTGGAGCCTCCGTAGGCGCGTTCGTCCACTGCGCGTTTGATCCAGTGCTCGACTCCGCACCCGATCCCGAAGCAGACGCAACCGTTGGAGCCTCCGTAGGCGCGTTCGTCCACTGCGAGTTAGACCCAGTGCTCGACTCCGTGCTCGACTCCGCACTCGATCCCGAAGCAGACGCAACCGTTGGAGCCTCCGTAGGCGCGTTCGTCCACTGTGAGTTTGATCCAGTGCTCGACTCTGTGCTCGACTCCGCACCCGGTCCCGAAGCAGACGCAAACGTTGGAGCCTCCGTAAGCGCGTTCGTCCACTGTGAGTTAGACCCAGTGCTCGACTCTGTGCTCGACTCCGCACTCGATCCCGAAGCAGACGCAAACGTTGGAGCCTCCGTAGGCGCGTTCGTCCACTGCGCGTTTGATCCAGTGCTCGACTCTGTGCTCGACTCCGCACTCGATCCCGAAGCAGACGCAAACGTTGGAGCCTCCGTAGGCGCGTTCGTCCACTGCGCGTTTGATCCAGTGCTCGACTCTGTGCTCGACTCCGCACCCGATCCCGAAGCAGACGCAAACGTTGGAGCCTCCGTAGGCGCGTTCGTCCACTGCGAGTTTGATCCAGTGCTCGACTCTGTGCTCGACTCCGCACCCGATCCCGAAGCAGACGCAAACGTTGGAGCCTCCGTAGGCGCGTTCGTCCACTGCGAGTTAGACCCAGTGCTCGACTCTGTGCTCGACTCCGCACTCGATCCCGAAGCAGACGCAAACGTTGGAGCCTCCGTAGGCGCGTTCGTCCACTGCGAGTTAGACCCAGTGCTCGACTCTGTGCTCGACTCCGCACTCGATCCCGAAGCAGACGCAAAGGTTGGAGCCTCCGTAGGCGCGTTCGTCCACTGCGAGTTAGACCCAGTGCTCGACTCTGTGCTCGACTCCGCACTCGATCCCGAAGCAGACGCAAAGGTTGGAGCCTCCGTAGGCGCGTTCGTCCACTGCGAGTTGGACCCAGTGCTCGACTCCGTGCTCGACTCCGCACTCGATCCCGAAGCAGACGCAAAGGTTGGAGCCTCCGTAGGCGCGTTCGTCCACTGCGAGTTAGACCCAGTGCTCGACTCCGTGCTCGACTCCGCACTCGATCCCGAAGCAGACGCAAACGTTGGAGCCTCCGTAGGCGCGTTCGTCCACTGCGCGTTTGATCCAGTGCTCGACTCTGTGCTCGACTCCGCACTCGATCCCGAAGCAGACGCAAACGTTGGAGCCTCCGTAGGCGCGTTCGTCCACTGCGCGTTAGATCCGCTGCTTGACCCAGTGGTTGACGTTTTAGATCCTGAAGATAAAGTGCTGAGTCCTGGTATGGGGTGAGTCGTCCATGGATTCGATGCCTGGGTCGTTGACTTCGGCAGTTGAGTTGGTGAGTTCGGCACAAAGCTAGAACTGGAGCCTGAAGAAGATCTCGCAGTAGTCGAGCTTGGATGAGTTCCTGAAGTCGGCGTATTCATCCACGGCGTCAGTGTCGTTGACTCCGGCGTCCGTGTTGTCGAGGTAGGCGTGTAACTAGCACTAGAGCCTACACTCGATTTCGAAGAAGACGAACCCGTTTCTGACACGGGAGCATTTGTCCATTCGCTCGGTGCCTGCGTCGTTGACTCCGGCATCTGTGTTGCTGTGTCTGGATTTGACTCGTCACTATGTGGCGACGGCTCTGTCGTTGCCAGCGTGGTAATTCCTGCTGTTCCTGGTCTAGACCTACCGTCGTTTTCTGAGCTTGGCGCATTCGTGACCGGTGTCCAGTCAGTCTCTGGTGCTTTAGTCGTCGCGCTAGGCGTCGCTGTCGTCGCCGTCGGACTGGAGTTTGAATCTGCCTCTGGGTTACCACTTGAAGCTCCAGCATTCGTGTCGGTGGTGGCGCTCTCGCTAGAATCTGCAAGGCGAACACTCACCTCAAGTTGTCGGTAGTCGAAGGTTTGCTCCGCATTTACGACGCCCGTCGAGCAGACCGCGACGGCAGCTGCAACGACCACTACGAGCGCTCGCTTCCTTGAATGCCATCGCGGTCTCCGTTCCATCCTGTCGAATAAGTTAGCGTAAATAGTTCGTGCTGCCCCCGCGTCGTTTTGTCCTGTATATCTGTGCGTTCTCCTCCTCTGTCCTCCTGTTTTGTCTGCTGCCTGGTTTGCTCGCTCGCGTGCGCGCTCGAACCGTCAGTGGTGACGGCACGAAAGAGAGCGCCGACCGAAGACTGTCTCGCGCGAAGGGAGAATGCACGGCGCTGTATTATTACCTGGTGGAGGTGTCGGAACGCACGGATAGCGACGGACTGGCCTTGTGGTCGCCACCATTTGCTCCGCCTCTACAGACAACGGCTGTTACGTGGGACTTTCAGGTCAATCTGGATTTTTACAAGGAGTTGAGACTTATTGTTTACTTTTTATATTAGAAAGAATGTGTTTTAGGTGTACCACACAATAGTAGCAACAATGGTCAATAGCTGATGACTTGGGAGCGATTGCGAGATGGTAGTGCAAAGTTCAGAGCACCATACGACTCTACCCACACTACGTGCAACCAAGCTGTTTCCAAGGAAATGAAAACCATCACTTCGTCCCCACTTAACAATCGCTGTACTTATTAATAAGTACATTTTATTAAACATTTAAAATGCTAATAATGCTGAGCAAGTTGCTCGACTCGAGCGGAGGAGACGTTCGCTTGCCACCACCACACATGGTATCCATTTGCTTATCTTAACTTTTCGCTGTATGAGTGCAGTAACGCCACGAATCAATTAGATGTATGCTTGCAAGCAGCTAGCTATTAATAAAGGCAGTCGGTTCGTGGTATCCATCAGCAGTTTACATCGAGTCCGTGACATGGTGAAACGGTCCAGGGTGGACTTTTCCCGAAAATACAGTACAAATGAACCCTTCGGTAGTCATCCCTGCTCATGGAATACCCTCCGACAAGAATAATAAATCGTGTTTGCTGTCCTCCCAGACTATCATTCTTCAATTTTTAAGCTAGTGCCACCAGGATGCCAGTCGAACGTAAGTCAACCCGCACCATGCTCACCAATGCTCAGCGCTAGCTATTTGCCAGCATCTATGCTCCGTAATCGACGAGCTAGATAAAATGCAGTCGCGCCAACATGCGTCCGATCCGATGTCGGTGACAGAGCTGCTAAATCCACCAGATGAGAACGTGCACGACGAAATCGAGGTGGCGGACGTTCACGCGAGTGGTAAGTCGATGGATGCCTACGAGGATACTGGAGGTGAAACAGAGAAAGCTGATGTAGAGCTCGATTCTGCGGATATTAAGGAGCACCTCAAGTGGGTTGCAAAGCTGCGTATTCGAGCAGATTAAACAGGCGTGTCGGGTAGAAGTGCAGAGGGGCTTGGAACGATACAGAGAGAGCTGCGAGGCGAGTCAAGCAGGAAGGAAGGGCGCAAGCAGCAGGTGTCCTTGCTTGCCAAGGCGTGCTGCACTATAGTGATATTTCCATAGTTAAGCACCTCAGAACAGTCATTTTTGGTAATTTTGCTTTCCATATTCCGAGGGAGGAGTAGGTCGAAAACACCATCATATCGCATAATTATTATTCTATCTAGCGGGCTCGCGCGATTGATTCGTCGATCAGAGCCTAACCAATCTTATTACAGCAGCCGAGGCCTTTATTTCGCGAATTTCGCCTGAATCCATGGTCCACTGATTAAGATCAATGTTAGAGGTACCGAGTAGCTCGTACTTAAGCGAATGTTAGAGTTACACTGTGTGAGTGAGTCGAGCCACTTCGTGTTAATTGGTCCCGAGATACGTACTAAAGGTACTACGCGAAAATATATTACGGTAATTTAATTTTAACAGATTAAAAAATTCATCATTTTTAGAGATATCGGTGCTTGCGACGACAGCCAGTCACGCGACTGGTACAGTAGCATGAAGTGTTGCTGTAATGTAACTGAAATGCATGAATGTCACCCGAAGGTACGAAGCACTTAGTGAGAATTTGCCTGACGAGTACTGCTAGAGTAGAGCAGACCATGACCAGTATCTTTCACTTTACGCAGCTCAACAGTATCACTGCAGCACGCACACATTGGAATCAACAGACAGAGGCATCACAATGCGAACTACAGGGGTACATTATCTTTGTAACGGGGTAAGAGATACCGTTACTAGCTTACACTGTAATGCGGAGGAAGCTCGCAATAATAAAACCAAGTCTTAGGTTTGTGTCAAATTCAACTCTGATTTATTTAGGACCAGGGCGGCTACCCCTGGCCTCGTGTGAACCACTCAAACACATGTCTATATCTGATTGGTCAATAAGTGAGTCTGGCTCCTCACTATCAACCAATCAGATGATGACACCTTGGCACACGCTACCCGTGTGCCACTTTACCTACTTATGTAATAACTGAAGAAATATCTACCTACTTATGTAATTGGAGTTGGGCCCATTACATCACCCTCCTCTCTAAGTTGCGCTTACGCAACATAAGCGCACGGAACACAATTGAAGAAAACTCGAAAACCCAACGGAGCGAAGATGGCCGAGGACAACACGACGCAGTCAACGGACGTTAGCACCAGCGCGACGCTGGTGACAGCAGCAAGCATCGACACACTAACGGCGGCGGTAACCCAGACAGCCGAGACACCGGCGGAGCCGACAGTCACGAGGATCAGCGCCGGAAGCACGCGGTCGCGCGTGATGGACGACGCCCTGGTTCCCTGGGACCTGTACGACTTGTCAGGAGCAGAGAATCCGGATACGCTCGACACCATGAAGAACCACTTTCGTCGCTTCCGCGCGACGCGGAAGAAATACATTGAAGGCGCTGATCGTGAGGGACTTCGTCGCTCCTGGTGTGCCTTCATCCGGCGATGGAACCGGATGTCGCGTGCTGGAGAAAGCTTTGTCGACTGGTTGACGTATCGCGAGGAGATCCTCGCGGATCATTCGATTGGAGAGCTACGCGTGAAGGTCTGCAACAACGCATGGGATGTGGACCGACTCTGCTTCGTGCACGTGAGAGAGGGATGTGAGTCCTGTGGTACTTCAACCCGTCCGACTCAACGCGAATGGAGGGAACATCTCGCTGAGCGGCCACTCAGCGGAGAGGAGTCGGGATGGATCGGGAAGTACGAGCACACCCTGTCCAGTATGGATCAGGCGGCTAATCGCGGCGGCTCACGCCGACGTTGCACGCGTCGGAGCGCGGCGTCGTTGTCGCCTCCTCGTGCGGGTCGTTCTCGTGGCCGTTCTCGATCTCGTTCACGGTCTCCGCGGGATGACTCGCGGAATTCTTCTTCTCAAGTAGCATGGTCTCATACTCGTGGACCACGTCCGGAACGTCGCGGAGAAGGTTGGCGCGGGACTCCCACGTATCATGTTCTGGGGAATAACCGAGCCAACGTACCAAGTAGCGGCGCGCGGTCGGAACCGCGCGAGGAGCACGACTACGGACGTTTCGTTGAGCGGTCGAGCTGTGGGGATCTTCATGGTCAACGATACGCTCCACAATCCAGCGCGCGTCACCCACCGAGTCAATTATCGGTGGTGGGCCTTCACGATGATACGGCGTACGCCCGGTACGTTCAGGGCGAGGTGGAGGCAGCTTCGAACCGCGCGTTGGACGCTCAGGTTGGGGCTGAGCGGGCGGAAGATCGTGCCTGGCGGGCTGAGCAGATCGCGTCGGAGCTTCGTCAGTCGAATCGGGAGCTGTTATCTCGCCTACGGGGATTGGAGACGCATGTGCTTGGCTCTGCCCAGCAGGGAGATCGTCCGCGAGAGCGGGCGCCAGGGGCTGACGGCTTTCTGGCGCGTCAGGCTCGTCGGGCTGGTCGCCCGACGCATGCTCCGTCTGCTGGATCGAATCAGGAGTCGTCGCAGGGAAGTACCGCTTGAGTCGCCCGACGTAAAACGTCGGGTGAAGTCTAAGTGACGACGGGATGTCCAAGGTGTAGGCGTCGCCCACAGCCTTGGTTACACGAAAAGGACCGATGAAGCGTGGGGCAAGTTTGTTGGCGCCGAGGTTGGTCACGGCGGAAGCGCGGATTCCCTCGGTCGATAGGAGAACGCGATCTCCTATCTTGAATACATTCACGTTCTTATGACCGTGCTTATCAGCTTGTTCCTTTTGCTTGTCCACTGCGTTCTGCAGTGCGTCGCGGACGAACCTTGCGATGGATTGCCTTTGCATGACGAATTCCGCAACTGCCGAGCGATCGGCAGGAAGCACCGAGGGTTTCGGTGTATAGTTTGCCGTGGTAACTTCTTGCTCACGAATCTTGCGGCCTGGATCGATCAAGTTCTGCGACGTCCATCTCGTTATCGGAGATGCAGTATGCCGAGGAGGCTCGATGGACTGCTTGGACGGAGAACGAGTCAGGGCGTTCGCACTGGATACACCCGAAGATAACCCTGAAGTCGAGTGCGCCGGCAGGCTTGTTGACACCGGTGAGGCTACCGGTGCGTGCTGAGACACCGGTTCACGTACCGGTGATGACCACGACACGGACACGTTGTCCCTAGAGCTGAGCGCAGCTTCAGCATCCATGTCGACCGAAGGAGGTTCTCCCCCACCAAGGGTGGAGCCGCCAGCATCCGTGGGGTGACCCACGGCGAGAAGTGCCGGAACACGTGGGTGGCGTGCGTTGTTCACGAAGAACGGCGTCATACCCGTCGAGGAGTGCTCGGCGTTGTTGAGTGCGAACTCGGCTAGCGGTAGGAACGAGCTCCAGCTCGTGTACGAAGTTGCATAGATGCGGAGAACGTCTTCAAGGACGCGGTTGACGCGTTCTGTTTGTCCATCCGTCTCCGGATGTGCCGCAGTTGACATCAGCAATTTGGTTCCCAATAGCTCGAAGAGGCGTGACCAGAACGCGGATGTAAACCGCGGGTCGCGGTCGGACACGATAGACTCCGGCAGGCCGTGGTGACGAAAAATCACGTCGACGAAGTGGGCCGCGGACTCTTGTAGTGCCCGGGAGGCCGCCACCGGAACGAGATGGACCATTTTGCTGAAACGATCGACGAACACAAGTACACCCGTGCGCCCGGCTGTATCGGGCGGAAGACCGAAGATGAAGTCCATCGAAATGGAGCGCCAGGCTTCCGTGGCGACCGGAAGAGGGCGCAATGGGGCCTGAAACGTCGAAGACGGTTTGACTCGCTGGCAAGTTTCACATGTGCGGACCCACTTGCGTACCCACTTGTACATGTGCGGCCAATAGAAGTCTCTCGACAGAGCCGCGTACGTCTTCTCGCGACCGAGATGTCCTCCAGTCGGGGCGTCATGATACTCGTGGATTATGCGCGCACGTAGATCAGCGTCGTTTGGGACGACGACTCGAGGTCCATCGAACCTGTCGATGCTGTACTTGAGCAGATTACCGTCCAGTCGATATCGATCGATCTGATTCCGCGTGGTCTTGGACAGGGCACTTAGCGTGTCACTACTAGGAGCACGCAGGTGCTTCATGATGGCGCCGTATATAGGGTCATCAGCGTACGCTGTAGCAATCTCGTCGCCCAGCGGGAGCGTGGGCGTGGTCAACGTCAAGTTGATGCCTGACGACACGCAGACCGCACATTCGTCGTCGTCCTCATCAGCGAGCTGATGTCCTAGCGCCTCACGGGGATCGTAGTCCGGACGCCGAGACAGCGCGTCGGCGAGAATGTTATTCTTGCCCGGCTTGTAGTGAACAACGAAGTTGTACTCGGAGAAGA